GAGACCTCGGAGATTCATAGTACTGAACAGAAACTGGAAACTGGTTTCAGTCAGTACTCACCTCCTTAAAATGTGAACATTGCCATCTCTAGGATGATATTCAAAGAGGGTCTGGGAAAGCTGTACTGGTGATTCTGGTGTTGCCATCAGGTAGCACTGCTGGCAGTTCAAGAAAATACAAGCTTTGATAACCAGCTGAGTTTCCGCCTTGGAGCCCTTTGCTTTCATATTAAAAACCCAGATAGCCAGGCCCACCCCCACAGAGCACGGGTGAGAAGGCAGTCTTTGCAGTCCTACCTGTGTCTTTGACTCACTCCCAACATGTTTTAAAGATGGGAACCTCTGGAAGGATCAGACCATGCAGCTTGGAAAAACTGAAACAAATTTTAATGAAACAAAAAAGAGCTGCTCTCTTGGCCTGTGACTGGTGTGGTACAGGATTAGAAAGGAAGCTTGATGCAGTGTAACAATTCGCTGCAGGCTAATTTGTCTGTGGCTCATGCTATAGGCTCTGCTTTGTTATTTGATTATGAATATTGGATCAAGACTTTGGTCCTGGAGCCATTAAAGTCATTAGTCAAGCTCTCATTAATTTGAGCTGGACCAAGACTGGACCTTTTGTGGCTATTCAGAGGACATAGACAAACTTGTACATCAGTCAAGGGCGTAGGCTCATTCTGCTGGGGTCATATGGTTAATGCATCCTGTTCCTGTCATTTCTGCTATAAATCTGTGAATGCTTTTAAAGCAAGAGGAAAACCTAATTCCTCTCCTTTTCCCAGAAAATATTATGTTCACTTTTATTCCAAACAAGACAAGGGGTCCTTTTTCTTGTGAAAACTTGTAACGGGAAAGGTAATCTCAATATTTTTCATGTCTCTAGAGTCAGTGAAAGGTAATTTGAGACAAAGTACCAGACAATAAAGTCTCCTGTTTGCAAAGCATGCAAGCCTTCTCCCACTGAGTTCCCATAAGCCTTTATTGGGTCCTGATGATCTTCTTGCCTAAGCATTAAGTCAGTACTTATTGTGCTGTTGTTGTCTACTAAAAGATGCCTTATTTTCTGCATTGCATCTAATCTACAAAACTCCTTCAAAATGGGAAAAAATTTATAACTTCCTACACATGTAATCAAACTCATAATTATTGGCTTAATTTGCATGGCTTTGGACTTGAGTCACTAAGCTAGGTTTTACTTCTAGAGTATGATACTTCTAGAAATGTGGTTATTTATATGAAATAATTCCAAACTACTATTTTTTCCCTTTTTTCCTTTTTTTTCCCCCTTTTTTTCCTTTTTTTTTTTTTTTTTTTTTTTTTTTTTTTTTTTTTTTTTTTTTTTTTTTTTTTTTTTTTTTTTTTTTTTTTTTTTTTTTTTTTTTTTTTTTTTTTTTTTTTTTTTTTTTTTTTTCTGAAAGACCCACCTCATGGTGATTATGGGAATAAAAGCTGTTCTAAGCTGTTCTTCCACTCTCTCTAGAGTGGAGGGCCTGAGCACCTTTCCTACAAAGACAGGCTGAGAGAGTTAGGGTTGTTCAATATGCAGAAGAGAAGGCTTCAGGAACAAATTTTATCAGTCTTCCAGTACATTAAGGGGGCTTATAAAAAGGAGGGAGAGGGACTTTTTATATGGGCAGATAATGACAGGACAAGAGACGATCTTAAACTGAAAGAGAGTAGGTTTAGATTACATGTGAGGAAGACATTCTTTACTCAGGTTGCCCAAAGAAGTTATGGATACCCCATCCCTTGAAGTGTTCAAGGACAAGTTGACTGGGCCTGTGAGCAACCTGATCTAGTGTGTGGCATCCCTGCCCATGGCAGGTAGGTTGGAATTAGATGACATTTAAGGTTGCCTCCAATCCAAACTACTCTATGATTCTATGATTTGCTGAAAAAAGTGTGGATGTGATTTGATACATTTTATAAAAACAACTTCCAGCACTCACTTATGAAAAGATGAAGGAATAGGTGAAAGAGGGGAAGAAATGACCTTTATTATGCATATATTCATAGGTACCACCCTGCCCAGTTTGAAAGCTCAACTGGCTTTCAGAGATATTAGATCTGAGTGTCTGTGTGCATGAATGTGCATGTTTTATAAATGGTTTGATCTTACCTGAGCATTCTGTGGCTCTGGTGACATCCCATTTGTTCACATTTCTGTAGGCTCTTCAGTAAACTCACTGGATAGATGACAGTTCATTAATTTAGTTGACAATGCACATCAAGTCTTTCCACCCTCCGCCCCCAGCCCTAAAATGAAAATAAAGAAATTACAATGGTAAGAAGGGAAAATATTATGCAAATAACTCTGAAAGCACTGACACATTTAAACGAATGCAGTTCCTAGAATCATAACAATAAATGCACTGTCAAGAGTATCACAGTTACTCCAGTGACATGACCACCTTGCAAGAGCATCAATGCAAGCTGTCAGAGTACTTACCTAAGTACTCCTGAAATATTTTTCTTTCACTGTAACTTTTCAGTCATGAGGCTTTGAAAGAGCCCTTTTCCCCTTACAACCCTTTGGGTAGCTTTTAAATACCTGCATATATCACCTTGCAAAACAAGTGGTTCAGGAACAAACTTTCTAGAGATGGCTGTTACTGAGATCAGTTGTTTTAGAAAATGTTCTTTGATGAAATGACTTGAAAAAGTTTGCCCAACTTCCTGCATGGAAAACAATTTTTCCTCAAATATTACAAAGATAGCAACTAAGCCTACCCCAAAGAACCATTTTCAAAGGGCTCAGCCCTTTCAAGCATTTGTTTTTGTTTATTAAAGTTGCTGCAGATAATTTACAAAATCCATTACTCAGAGATTAACCAGTGCAGTAACATCACTATGAAACCTCCCACAAAATGGATTTTCCATAATTTTCTTTAATGCACAAACTTCCTCATTCAGCTGCAAGTCTTAGAGCAGTCTGTTCATTTTGACCATCAACTCCATGCTCTGATGCAATGTTAAGATTTAAAAAGCCTTTATAACAGCTCAGAAATGCCTCTCTCAAGCCCCTTCTTGGAATTAGTGACTTTAGTTAATATTGGTTAACACTATTTGGAACAGGCATGTTATTCTTCCATTTAGTTTTATTCTGGTCATTCTTCCAATCTCCATTTAAATTCAGTTTTCTTCTCGGTTGGCATCCGCACTCTTAGCTACCTCATAAACAAGATGCATTGCCAACTGGAACATGCAAGCAGAGCTGAAAGCAACATCGCTAACCTCTGCTCCTTTTTACCCCCTGGAAGTTGGAGACGTAGCAAACTCAGTGCTTGGAGCCTGGGAAGTGGGAATCCTGAACTGATTGGAAGCTTAAAGAGCCAGACTTCAGGCTATTAAGGGACTGGGCTGGCTCACTGAGCTCACTGAGCTATAACTGTGCATACATTTCACTCTTTTCAGCCCAACCAGCCAGATTCATATGCTCTTATTCCAGCTGAATGTATCTTTCACTATGAAGACATGTGCTGAAAACTGTGAATAGTCAGTTTTACTCAGCATTAATAACGCAACTAGAGTCTAACCCAGAATGACTAGCCTGGTAGTGTTAATTTCTAAGTACAGAGGAGAAAAGATTTAGGCACTCAGATTTGCTTAGGGATTTTGGCTATAGGCAGCACTGTCTTGATTGCCTCAAATTCGCGTTCTTAGAGACTGCACACTCAGCAATAACAAAATCTTTGTCACAGGTCGGGGAGGCACTGTAAGGAAAGGCAATGAATGAAGGAGAAATTTAGAGATCATGTAAGTGGTGGGTGAGAAGGCTCCCACTTCCCTCATCTCCCACCACCCAGCCCCTCCTCCGCACATGCAGCAGCCACCACCAGAGTTGGCACAGAGTGATGGGTACCTGGGGTTCCACCTCCTGTACCACCGCTTCTCTCTGCTTTTCACTGCAGAGACTAAAACCGCTTGCCTTGGGCCTTTTTTTCTCAGAATTTATGCAGATTGTTCCTTTTTTAGCCACTCTGTGTGGATATGTGGGTAATCAAAACTGGGTTTGACTTTTTTTTCCCCCCTTCATCTGTGGGGTCAAGGCTTTTTGCCTTATCAGTTCTGCACTGTAAATGTTTCTGTCCTCAGTTAGTAAGGCAGAATGTCTAGCCACACGACACCAACAACTTACAAGTTGCCACTCTGGGGAAAGAAAGTACACATTTAAAAGAATCAGCAGCCTAGGTAGGATATAATGTGACTTAAGAGTTTCACTGTAACATCATAGAGTATAAAAATGAAAATATAAAGTGCATTTTAAATGATTAATGTACAAAAGCTGACCTCTTCCAGTGTGCATTAATCAAGAAAAAATGCACACTTTCTGTAGTGGTTAATGTTGCAGGTCCATTATTCAGCTTTGATAATGTGCATAAAAATGCTCAATATGACAATGAGTTGGGGTAGCTGAGAATTTAGAATGGTGGCAAGTTTGTTGTAGTATTTGGATTAGCATTCTTAACCTACATCTTGACAGCTTCTTTTCTTCATTTCACAAGTGTTAATAAAAAAATCTAGCTTTATCTTCTTTGATTTTTCATT